GTTCTAAAATATTAATAATACTATTACTTGAACAAGATTTTTGTTATGATTAGAGAAAAATTTTAGTTGTTACCGGACTTAAACAACGTCACACATCAATCGAAAGTCACGTAACATTTTGATTGTTATTATGGAGCTGAACATGACTATACAATGTGCTAATGAAGAATTGTTCAAAGGAAACAATCTTGGTACGATATGTACAATGCAAAGGTATATAGAAATCTCTAAAAAGTACCAAAAGTGGTAAAAAGTTCAAAAGATAAATAACAAAATAACTGTTGTTAAAAAAATGGAAGGTTACATCATAATTCACATGAGATAGTGAACAATAGAAAATCAATCCTCCAAGAAGATTATCGGCTTGGGAGGAATAGAACAAGAAGAGATATTAGACCACATGGCATGTATCGTTTTTCACCTTTCAAAGTTCATTGTAAAGTGAACCGAACAACTAAGAAGAAGTTGTTAAGCAAAAAGAATCAAAGCTGGCTTGTTACTATGCAAGAGATACTTCTTTGCACAAGAATCAAACTAGGGTATTGGTAAATAAATCTGAAGGTAAAAATATTAAATTTAAAGCTAAAAGGAAGGAAAAAAAATAGCGAAAAGCGAAAAGACATTAGAAAGCATTTCCAATTCATTTCCCTTTTCCCCCAATTGCTGCCTCTCGTTCCCAATTGAAAGCATTTCCAATTCCCCAAATCTCCCGACTGAAGACAACGACTGGCGTGATTCTTCCCGGCGAGAGTTCGTACTTCGCAGTACAAGTCATTCTTTGGCGACCTTCGGAGTTCAGAATCGGATGCTGCTGCTGCTGAATTCGTTTCTCCCCCGCATCAATTCGCGAGAGTCCGAGACTGACAGGTATAATTTATTCAGTGCAAGTTTCTTGAATAGTCTGAGCATCAGCAGAATATGCTTTGTTTGCACTTAATCTGTTTGGACATGAAGCGAACTTTTGCGAGCTTTGCTGGTTGAGGTCAAGTTCTGTTAATGTAGACATGATAAATCTTGAATGCACTTTTAATAGAATTTAGATTTTAAGAAAAACAAGGGTTGTGAATTGTGATTGGCTTTATTAACAAGGTTGAGTGGGGGATTCTCCTTCAGTATGCTTAAGTGAGGACTGAGGAGGACAGTGTTCGGGTGAATGTAAGTAATGACTATGGTATGAAGTTGTGGACTGGAGCCTTATCTATTGTCTTTTGTGAGTGGATTTATAAAAAAAAAGTAGATTTTACATGTTTTCCTCACTGAAGAAGCCTGAAGGAAGCAGGAAGCTACATAAGTAGATAACTTTATTGTATTTGTATAATATTCATGCCATTGAAATCTAGTTGTGGGCAAATAAATTGAAGCTACTAATGACTAATGATCAGCGTTGTGACCAAAAGAAATAAAGTGTATCCATTAGTTTACATGCTTGTGACTTTAGGATTAACTCTTCCGGTTGCTATTGCTACAGTTGAAATAGTATTTTCTACTATGAATATTATGAAGAATTGACTGCGTAATCAGATTGGAGACCAATGGACGAATATTAAGCCAACGATGTTGAATCCTCCGAAAGAACACATGGGAAAGGTTTCATTGGGCAACTATATTTTTGACCAAGATAATGCTAGGAGGGTACTTGGAAAGATGATTATTTTGCATGAATATCCACTCTCATTCGTTGAACATGTTAGATTTTGACACTTCAAGAATGTAACTCCAACCACCGTTTAGAATAGTCCTTCGTAATACCTTCAAAAGTGATATTTTTAATATATATGAGTATGAGAAGACGAAATATGGGTTTTTTTTTGGAGAGAAATTAGAGTAGAATAGCAATCACGACTCATATGTTAACTTCTAACCAACTTGCTACAATCCTTGCACTTTCGAAATCACACCACCGCATTGTTCTGCCAATTGAACTTGACTGTTTAGTAGGGATTGGAAATTACTGAGGATATTTTTGAGAAAATTCATGAGAGTGATGTATTTTTTACATCAAAGCCAAAAGGACATGAAAAAATTGAGCTAGCTATCTGTAAGCTAAAAGTTTCGTTTGATAAATAATTAGAGATTGATTGCAAAATTTGGTGATATTCTACATACACAATGCATCACTCTTCTTTATAGTACATTGATATATTTTCCATTTGAAGCAAAGAGANCAATTTTTTTTAGCTAAAACAAACAGGGACTATATGTTTCCCAAGATGAATATAAAGGTAAGGAAAGTTTAATGCCTCTCAAAGAAATTTTCTTATGGCTTAGAAGCAAGCCCCCAAGACATTAATGTAAGAGGTTGACTTTTATATCACTAGACTTTATTAAAACTGCATCTTTGCCTCTAGAAAACCAATTCAATTTATCCTCTTAACAGTGTTCTTCCACTCAGGAAGAATAGAAGTATCCTGTGTGTACGGAAAATAATTCCACAGAAACCGGCCAGAACAGAGTGGGTGGTTTTTTTTTTTTTCCAATATTTTATACATATGGGGCCCACCTCCATGTGAGTTTCTGGCAGAATTCTGTAGAACTATTTTCTGGACAAATGGTTTTCTCCGGAAGAATATGAAACAAAGCCCGAAGTACCTTATTCAAGTCGGTAATGGACTTGCTTGTCTGTGAGCGTGTTGAGCAGAGTCAAAGCTATTCTAGAGGAAACTTACTGGGAAGCCAAGACTGGTCTGTTCAGATACATCAAAGGTGTTGCAGGTCTAAGATTAAATGTAAAGTAAGTGTAAAAAATTTGTTGTACTTAAGAGCTCTATAGATTCAGACTATATATGGGGACTAATAGAAAATCCACATCTTCTTACTTATATCCCATATGTAACACTGCTATAAGTGTGAAACCACAATTACATTAGTTAATTGCCTTATCATCCACTGGGGCACAATACATTGCTGCCACAGATGGAGTCAGTGAAGTAATATGGCTTAAAAGCGTACTAGATGAATTTCAGATTTAACAAAGATGAAACCTTGTACTCTAAAGGAGTTATTAAGCTTGAGAAAGCGTCGACTAAGTCAAATGCCGTAGATATAGGTACATGATTTTAGGATCCTAAATTGGAGTTACTCTCAACCCAGAGTAGAATTATGAGGGTGGTGGATGGATCATAAATATTTAATATAAGAAAGAGACATCAAATAATCTTAGGGCCTGTTTGGTAAAGATTCTCCTTTTCTACAGTAAATCAATTCTCATTTTCAACCACACATTCTTCAATAAAATAATATTTTCCATCACATCTATACTTTTTTCTTCTTTTTCAACCACACATTTCCCATCAAATCACTATTCAAAAATCAATAGTACAGATTCTCCTTTTCTACAGTAAATCAATTCTCATTTTCAACCACACATTCTTCAATAAAATAATATTTTCCATCACATCAATACTTTTTTCTTCTTTTTCAACCACACATTTCCCATCAAATCACTATTCAAAAATCAATTCTTCCCCCAAAAATCCCTACCAAACACACTCTTAGCCTTTTAACTTAAGTTAATCTAACGATCTAAATTTATTAAAACCTTTATTTGGTAAATTTGAATTTGTATAAGGACTTTCAAAGGTTTTAGCAATGCCTCTATTTTGGAGCACTTTTAATCCCAATTCTATCAGATTTGATAGATTGGTCAAAATTTTCGTAATGAAATAATAAACCCAGTGCAGTGACCATTTGACTAGGTGTAGTAAGCTAAGAGTGCATTTTATCTATGTGGCTATTTTACCCTCCACGTTTCTAGCAAAATGACGTGATTGTCCCTCAATGATTTCATGCTTGCCCAACAATGAAGGGAAAAAAATGACAATTGACAAAGTGCAATAACATTTGACTTATCAATAAGAGTAGGCATGTAAGATTTGGCAGAAATAGGGCCCATTTCAACGGTCAAAAAATTAATTATTTGTGAAAAAGAAGTGCTCCCAAACATAGGCTATATCTTTCAAAGGCTTATATTATTTGTCAAATGCATTGATAAAAGGAATTGTCTTCATAAAGGAAATAGAATTACAAAGTTATAATATGATAGATTCAATCAAAAATCAAAATTGAGATCTATAATATCGGTAAGGCTGCACTTTTCTCCCTAATTTTAATTGCTTTTCCAACCGTTGAAAGAGAAAGGAGCTGCAACATTTGACTACCTCTCTCACACTGGGACCCACTTGGTTGAAAAAAAGGTCCAAAAAGCAATTATTTGGATGAAACAATCCGCAACAGACAGCCCCATAATAACATCTTCACAAATTTAATAATATCGGTAAGGATCTAGCTACCAAAGTCTCACGTGTGGACTGACGGACGCATTACGTCTTTTTCATCCAATAACTATATTTTTTAACTCAAAACTTTAGTTTGGATAACTAAATTTTTAAATTCCAAACATGAGTCAAAGTCCAACTGATAGATATTATTATCAAGAATGACTTGAGTTCCCAAATTCCCAAATCTAAAAGGTAGCATGGCTGTCCAGGTTTTTACAATTTCATAGTTGCTAATAATCCATGAGACACAAGGCATATTTATAACATTTATGAACATGATTCCCAAGAAACAAGATCAATGTAAGCACATAAGAATACATACTCAGAAAAAGAAAATTGGGTGGGCTAAACAGGCAGATACAAAGTAGATATTACTGGACAGCGTTTAAATTCAAACTAAAATCATCATCATACATATTTTGTTAAAAAATCAAACCTCGGATTCAATAGGTTCAATTCCACCGTTTCCTAAACTGGCACATAAAACACAACCTTAATTCGAGCAGGTTCCCATGGGATCAGCATTCTTAACTATCCAAGGATGTTCCGTGATCTTCTGAAGAGAAAGCCTCTTTGTCGAGTCCTTTACAAGAAGCTATAGACAGATAAATGTCAAGGGCATTAGAAATGGACATAAACTTCATCACTGTTTTCTCCTCTAAGTTATATAAAACGTTATAGACAACTCCACCTGGCTAATGAGATTTTTAGCATCAGCAGAAACATGAGGGGTGTCAGGGAAGTTTAGGTCGACCTTCATAATCCTAGACAGGTCAACATAGATCTTGTCAGCCTCTGCCCACTATGATGAAGTTGTAAGATGAACACTAGTTGCATATTTGGTATGCAGTATTGGAATGCTGCTGTACATACAATTAAAACAGACAAGATTTGGACTTACTTTTTCTTTCTTAATCCTGTCAAATACCGTACAATCCAGCATGCCTTACATGACACAGGTAAACTATAGAAACTTCCATTTTCTTACCTTCTAAATGTGTCCTTCTGGCTTTCGGCCTCGAATGGAGGGGCCCCATACAAAAATTCATAGCAGAGAACGCCTAAAGTCCAATTATCAACTCCATAGTCATGAGCCTTATTCTCCACCATTTCCGGTGCTAAATAGTCCAAAGTTCCGCACATAGTGTGTCTCTTGCTTTTTGATTGTACAGACCATCCGAAGTCAGCAATTTTCAGTCGTCCCTACAATTGATATGCAAGTAATGTTCTTAACACGTAAACCAGAATCTAGATTGCATATTTAGGTTTCAGATTATTTCAGAAAATTCATATTAGTAAATATGATGAAAATGTAAATTTGCCAACAAAAACTTTTTCTTCCTCAATTAGATCAAGACTATCTACAATATATCATGAAAGTCACTAAATTATGCTAGCTTAAGAGTTAAGATCACTATTTAATTAGTGGCTCGCCAAAAATCAGGTAAATATACAGCTCTTGTAACTTTAAGAAGATCCAGTTTATTTAGAATGGCAGTGAAAGGAACAGATAATTAGAGATAAAAGTTACTAATGTTGAAAAGGCATGTTTAAAATGCCTTGTCTTTACTCGTGTATCTGTCAATTTTCATCAAAAATGGAACATACAAAGTAATACCAGAAAGTGGCATCACCTCATGGTCGAGTAGCAAATTCTCTGGTTTGATATCCCTGTGAATCACATCCTTCTCATGACAGTATGCCAAGGCCTGTGTGAGACTCGCAATGTACTACATTTCCAAACAATTAAACCAACAAAAATTAATACTCAACAGCGAGAGATCCAAAATTAAATTACTATAGCAAATATTACTATTTATAGGATTAGAAATCAACTAAAGAGTTGAGATAAAGAAAAAAACATGGAGCTTCATGCAAAACAAACTAAAAATCAATACCACAGAATATCACACCCAATCAATTGTAATTAATCAAAATTATGTGCCACAGTTCCTACCCTGGTGTTCATCAAAGAATGAAAAGACTAGGCCTAAGTCAAGATACAAATATTTTCAAAGATAAATTGAAATGGAAGTTAAATGGACTGCGATTCCTACGACAATTGCCAAATTATTGAGAACTATTCCTTATGAAAGATAAATTTTCTGATGCCATCAAGTTGGAATAAACTCAAACCAATTGTTGCTTGTTATTGAAAATATAATAGCTGAAAATAAAGCAAAATACTAAACGAAATATTAAAGAAAGAGACCACCAAAAGATTTATGAGGTTATGTACATAATTGGGCTCCGTGAAGTCGTTCCATTGACTTCAAACACACAAAAATTATTAACTTTTGAGGAACTTTGAAATGCTCGCTATTTGGAGATCTTAAAGAGTAACTTCACATAAGAAAGTATGAAATGGAAAAGTAAAAAATTATAATCTAAGGTGATCTTATCAATTATAGAGTTCCGTAATTCCTATACTCTTGGTTTTTTACGAAAATTAAATAATTATAGTCTAAACCTGACATTGTGACTGTTGCAAAGAGATAAAGAAGCTGTTTGCTGACAATGCACTTTGCATTCAGAAAAATAGATCCTAATAACAAAATATGATAAGGGGAAAAAATAATTCAGAAAGAAATGAATAGATACTCGGAAAAAAAATAAAATACAAACATACAAATTGAAGCATTTGAAATACACTCATGTAACATACCAAAAACTTAAAATGCTTGAAACAGATTTTTGAACAAATGTATTTCCCCATACATCTTACATCAAATTTTCCCTCTAAATATAGAGCTCCCTATTGTACTTTAATGTGTATTTCAAATCTGAATTTATCTTTATCAACTATTTATTCTAATGGAGTACGCTTGGATGTGTATCTAGTGAGTACTATTTCAGTGACCATGGGAGAATAAAAATATATAGCATAAATGTACCTGTTGACGTAAGATATTTATTTTTAAAGTACAAAAGTATATGCCTTCTACCATCGTAAAGTTCCTTTCATAAAATTAAACTCCTACACGGAGGTAAGTGCAATTCTTTGTTTTAAATTAGAATTAAATGCAATTCATTGGCTTTCATGGAAAATAAAATGGACGTTATACTACTGCATGCTTTGTTTTCCATCACCTAATTAGAAATTACTACATTTTATATGCTCATAATGTGTGTGCGTTGTTTATTAAAAGAATAAAGTGTTTCTGCCACCTTAATTAACAGGCTATCTAGCACCAGCATTCATAGTTCAAAGTCAAGCTGAAATCTTATTGTCTTAGATGCCTCTATTTACAAATCAGTCGCAATTTCTAATTCATTATAGGAGTGTGACTAGATTGATATCTAACTATAAATCAAGAATTGAGACAAGATATGATGAGGATTAATATTCATGGATGTTCTATTTGCTATTTGTTTTGTATCTGCTGTGTAAGCATATCCATTGGTGCATATGATAAATTTCTTGTTTCCAAAATAATTTGTATTCCTAATTTACTTAATTTCCTTTCGTGCAGAGGAAATTCAATATTAAACCACAATTAAGTTCACATTTCAATCGCAACAAGAAATTCTTGCACAGATGCACAGTTGTATAAACACACATAGACACCTATTAGCTGATAAACATGCACGCAGAAGAATAAATAGAGTTTACAGTGGCAGCTTGTCTTTCGGAGAGGCGGCCAGATTTCCGTAGCTCTTTGTAGAGTTCACCTCCATGAGCATATTCCAAGATGAAGAAAATCCGTTCCTCGTCATGGAACCACCCAAAAAGTCTCAAGACATTTGGGTGACGGAGACTGATCTGGATCTTCATTTCCCTTCTCAACTGGTGGTGCAATCTGTACTTCTCTATTTGCTCCTTAAAAATCACCTTCAGCGCCACTATATACTTGCTCTATCACAAACCAAAGCCCAAAAATCAAAAATAAATTACGTAAATTCCCAGAAGTTCAATTTCCTCAGCATTATTGTATGACCTTCGGCGCCACTATATAATTACTCTTACAAGAATAAAAATATAAAATAAATAAATAAAATCACTCAAATTCCCAGAAATACAATTTTCTCAGCATCAGCAGTGTGTAATCTAACAAAAATCAAACACCAAAAGAAACAAATCACTCAAAATTCGATTAATACAATTTCCACTGCATTATACCTTGATTTCACGGGCGAGGTAGACACGGCCGAACTTGCCTTTGCCAAGGGGTTTACCGATTTCGAAATCGGCAATGGACCATTGTTTTTGTGGGCTTTTGAGGGGTTGTTTGGGGGGTTTCTTGTGATGGTTTTGGGATTGAGCAATCATTGAAGATGAGAAATTGAATAGAAGAATTACTGAAGAAAAAAAGAAATTAGGGGAATTAGGGATTAATGAGATTGGGAATGGGAATGGGGAGGGAAATTGGAACTTTCAAAATCGTGCCGGATTGCGAGTGGTAGAAATTGCAACGTTGATCCCTAATCTATAAGATGTATGGTAACTTGATCCCCAACGTATCAGTTTTGTAGCATCCATTGTCCTCAATGATAGATTATGCTCATATTTGGTCCGAATTAAAATCTAATTTTAATTCAAATCAAAGTCAAACATCAACCACATCTTCATGGGTCTCACAACTTTTCAACCACATATTTCAAAAATTTCTATCACAATCTATTAAAAATCTAATTTTAATCCTAATCAGACACCATCTATGTCAAGGGTGGCCAATATTGGCCCCCACATTTTTTATGAAGAGCTTTTTTGAGCCCCTTTTTTCAAAATTCATTTTTTAACAACATTTTTTAATAAAATAATTTTACACGTAAATCGAAAATTTTTCCTTTTTTTAACTACAGGTCCTCAAAAAATCACTATTCTAAAATGCATTTTTTTTCCAAAATGGGGCTCAAATGAGGGCGAAATGTATCACATTTTAATTGTATTTAAAGTCCCTAAACTTTATTTAATACCATGTTTATGTTTTTAATTTTTCTAACTATACTCTGATTAATCATTTAATAATAAGCATATCTTGTTTCTAATGCTCCATTTGGGATGGAGCAAATGCGGGAGCAGGACAATGCGTGACGGGATATTACTTTTTTTTTTTCTTATTGTTGATATTGCCATGTCAAGCTACTTAAGCCTATAGTTTGGAAATGTGACAAATGAAGATGTGATGATTATTTTATTAAGAGGAAAATTTATTTAGATTATGAAATGTGAAAAGAGATATTCCAAGAAAGTTAAATCTATAATTTTTAAATAAAAATTAACTTGCAACATAAAATCACTTGATTAAGGAAAATAAATAAATTTTCAAGGAACTATTTCAAGAAAATATTTTCAAGGGGGTAATATTACTACCTTCATTTCATTATTTAAATAATAAGGTCACTCAATTATAATGACTAAATACTTTAGTTACAATAGTATCTCGTCCAACATATTAAGCTCTTGTTTGAGCCACATTATTTTTTTCATTTTTATTCTTCTACTCATTTTCAATCATATATTTTTTAATAAAATAATATTTTCCACCACATCAATAATTTTTTCTTCTTTTTCGACTACATATTCCTCATCATATAAAAAAAAATGCATTCTTGACTCAAAATGTGCACCAAACAAGGGCTAATTGTTGTTTTAGTACACTGCATTGTCCTAGGGTTCTTGACTTCTTTCCAACCTTAAAAATTTCAAATCGACAATGATTGTTTTGTTCATCGATCAACATGCTCGACCACTTAAAGCTTATTTGACATAGATATTATTAAAAAAAAATATTTTGAAAAATATGTAGTTCATTAGTGAGAAAGGATTATAGATCACATAGAATGTATGATCGAAAATGAATTTACAGAAAAATGATTTTGAAAAAAAAAATCTTTGACAAACAAACCTTTAGATAGTTGTAAAAGAAATTCATGTATTAGAGAACAATAACCCCTTTTCTCATGGTAAATGGAAAAAAATCGAAAAATAACTAAGCGTGAAGCTCAACAACATGCTCAAGAGGTCAACCTTAAAAGGCCCATGCTAAGAAGGTCGAGCTTGAGAGCCTTTCACTCATGTCGTAGTATAACAATTAGGGCCATCGCCAGAGTATTCCACACTCGAGCAGGCATGTTTCATACCAAAAGTATCGAGGCAAGAGAAACCCGAGCGCTATATGTTTGGGTAGTGAGTTCTGATCGATCTTGGGCAAATTTAGCCCCCCGTTTGGTGCACATCTTTGAAAAAAAAATACATTTTTACTGTTGATGTGATGGGGAATATGTGGTTGAAAAAGAAGGAAAAATTGTTGATGTGATGAAAAATATTATTTTATTGAAAAATATGTGGTTAAAAATGACTAGAAGAATGAATTTTTACTGTTGATGTGATGTGAAATATGTGGTTGAAAAAAGAATGAAAAGTTATTGATGCGATGAAAAATATTATTTTATTGAAAAATGTGTGGTTAAAAATGAGTAGAAAAATGAGAATGAAAAAAAAAATATGGCTCAAACAAAGCCTTAGTGTATGTGTTAGGCAAAGTTCTCAAGTTCTTATATCTTGTAAGTTCTACAAATTGTGTAAAAATGAGAGAGTTGTAAATTAATCTTTTGTTTGGCACCCATTATTTTTTTTTTAAAAAAAAAATTCTATTTCAAGATGAGAAATTGAATAGAAGAATTGCTGAAGAAAAAAAGAAATTAGGGGAATTAGGGATTAATGAGATTGGGAATGGGAATGGGGAGGGAAATTGGAACTTTCAAAATCGTGCCGGATTGTGAGTGGTAGAAATTGCAATGTTGATCCCTAATCTATAAGATGTATGGTAACTTGATCCCCAACGTATCAGTTTTGTAGCATCCGTTGTCCTTAATGATAGATTATGCTCATATTTGGTCCGAATTATGGTCCGAATTAAAATGTAATTTTAATTCAAGTCAAAGTCAAACAATCAATATCAACCACATCTTGCACGGGTCCTACAACTTTTCAACCACACATTTCAAAAATTTCTATCACCATCTACTAAAAATCTAATTTCAATCCTAGAGCTTGTTTGGTAATACTAAAAATCCAATTAAAATTGAAAATATAGTCGTTATTGAGTCACACCCGTCTAATAAAAGTCAACAATAACGACTAATTTTTCAATTTTAATTCGATTTTAATCTCTTCCAAACGCACTCCTAATCAGACACTATCAATGTCAAGGGTGGCCAATATTGGCCCCCACATTTTTTATGAAGAGCTTTTTTGAGCCACTTTTTTCAAAATTCATTTTTTAACTACATTTTTTAATAAAATAATTTTACACGTAAATCGAAAATTTTTCCTTTTTTTAACTATAGGTCCTCAAAAAATCACTATTCTAAAATGCATTTTTTTTCCAAAATGGGGCTCAAATGAGGGCGAAATGTATCACATTTTAATTGTATTTAAAGTCCCTAAACTTTATTTAATACTATGTTTATGTTTTTAATTTTTCTAACTATACTCTGATTAATCATTTAATAATAAGCATATCTTGTATCTAATGCTCCATTTGGGATGGAGCAAATGCGGGAGCAGGACAATGCGTGACGGGATATTACTTTTTTTTTCTTATTGTTGATATTGCCATGTCAAGCTACTTAAGCCTATAGTTTGGAAATGTGACAAATGAAGATGTGATGATTATTGTATTAAGAGGAAAATTTATTTAGATTATGAAATGTGAAAAGAGATATTCCAAGAAAGTGAAATCTATAATTTTTAAATAAAAATTAACTTGCAACATAAAATCACTTGATTAATGAAAATAAATAAATTTTCAAGGAACTATTTCAAGAAAATATTTTCAAGGGGGTAATATCACTACCTTCATTTCATTATTTAAATAATAAGGGCACTCAATTATAATGACTAAATACTTTAGTTACAATAGTATCTCGTCCAACATATTAAGCCCTTGTTTGAGCTACATTATTTTTTTTCATTTTTATTTTTCTACTCATTTTCAGTCATATATTTTTTAATAAAATAATATTTTCCATCACATCAATAATTTTTTCTTCTTATTCGACTACATATTCCTCATCATATCAAAAAAAAAATGCATTTTTGACTCAAAATGTGCACCAAACAAGGGCTAATTGTTGTTTTAGTACACTACATTGTCCTAGGGTTCTTGACTTCTTTCCAACCTTAAAAATTTCAAATCGACAATGTTTGTTTTGTTCATCGATCAACGTGCTCGACCACTTCAAGCTTATTTGACATAGATATTAAAAAAAAAAAATTTGAAAAATATGTAGTTTATTAGTGAGAAAGGATTATAGATCACATAGAATGTATAATCAAAAATGAATTTACAGAAAAATGATTTTGAAAAAAAAATCTTTGACAAACAAACCTTTAGATAGTTGTAAAAGAAATTCATGTATTAGAGAACAATAACCCCTTTTCTCATGGTGAATGGAAAAAAATCGAAAAATAACTAAGCGTGAAGCTCAACAACATGCTCAAGAGGTCAAGCTTAAAAGGCCCATGCTAAGAAGGCCGAGCTTGAGAGCCTTTCGCTCATGTCGTAGTATAACAATTAGGGCCATTGCCAGAGTATTCCACACTCGAGCAGGCATGCTACATACCAAAAGTATCGAGGCAAGAGAAACCCGAGCGCTATATGTTTGGGTAGTGAGTTCTGATCGATCTTGGGCAAATTTAGCCCCCATTTGGTGCACATTTTTTAAAAAAGAATGAATTTTTTCCTGTTGATGTGATGTGAAATATGTGGTTGAAAAAAGAAGGAAAAGTTATTGATGTGATAAAAATATTGTTTTATTGAAAAATGTGTGGTTAAAAATGAGTAGAAAAATGAGTATAAAAAAAAAATATGGCTCAAACAAAGCCTTAGTGTATGTGTTAGGCAAAGTTCTCAAGTTCTTATATCTTGTAAGTTCTACAAAATGTGTAAAAATGAGAGTTGTAAATTAATCTTTTGTTTGGCACCCATTATTTTTTAAAAAAAAAATTCTATTTCTTAATTATAACCACGCATTTTCCAAATAAAATAATATTACACATAAATCTAAAAAATTTCATTACTTTTCAACCACATATTCTTCCATCAAACACTATTTTAAAATTTATAATACACTCAAAATGGGAGCCAAACATATGCTAAGAATCATATAAATTTTATAAATAAAAAGTATATTTCACCAATTTTTTTAAAAAAAATTGCCAAACACGCTAAACCCAAATTAAAAGCCAAATTAGAACATCTCAGAGCATCTACGAAAGACTTTTTAAACATAATATACTCTTTATTTTAAAGAATTAACCCTTAACATTATGCTCTAATAGACTTTTTAAATTAATATTTTAATTTGAAGAGTGAATTTGACTTTTTGAATTTGGAGAACCAAACACTCTCTGTAACTAAATAATTCAAAGTATTTCATTTTTTAATGGAGGAAAACAATATAATGATTTATATGGAAACTAATGAAAATAAAATATAGAAAACAATAAATATTTTTTGGAAGTAATAAATTTAAGCGTTAAATATAAAAAACCTATTGGAGTACTATTTTAAAATAAAGTTTTTTGAAGATACTTTAAGAAACTTTATAATGAGCATCGACTGTATAATAAAAAAATATTTAAATTTAAAAATTAAATTTTTTTATACACTCCAACAATTTTCTCTATTTTGACCCTTCATTTTGTTTATTTCAATACTTCAAGTAACACTCTCCACATCTTTTGTTTAACAATTTGTTTTTCAATCAATTTGAATATGATTTAAATAATTTAAGAAATAGAATATTGAAATTTGTAATTTAAAATGCAATCATTAGAATTCCAATACACTTTATTTTGCTTTTTCAAGAAACATTCACCTCATCTTTTATTTTGACACTTTTTTGTAAATGTGAATTATCAATCAATTCAAATATGATTTGAATAATTTAACATTGAAATCTATAATGTATTAAATGCAATCATTATAAAATAAAAATAATTGGGAGAATCAATCATATACACTCCCTCTCTAAAAAAAAAAATTAAATAGAAAGTCTCTTGCAACTTATTTTTTATACTTCTAACTCTCTAAAGGGGTCTTAAATTAAGAGAGTATCTTGAATATGCTATTAACGGCCATACGTATATGTAGAGGCCAAAAATAATCTACAGCAAGAAATCAACAAAATACTTGTATTAAACACTAGAAAAATAGAAAAATACCACTTGTACAGTCGTTAGAGGGTTGTAAGTTTTAGAGCCCTTTCTAATTAGTGTGGGACCCCCACACTAATTAGCTGTAAAAATTACCGTGGATCCCATACTAATTAGAGAGGGCGGTAAAAATTACAGCCCTCTAATGACTGTAAGTGTAGCATTTGTCTAAACACTATTATCCACGATTGTCAATGACACAAATCAAATAAAAATAGAAGGGGTACCCAAGTGGGTAAATCCCACAGAAATTCAGCTCAAAACTCTGCGCAGAATCCAAACAAAGACAGGGAATTGATGAGTAGAGCTTCGAGCTTACTTGCACTCAACGATCCAACCCATTTGGTGTCGAGCCTACTTGAGCTCAACTATCCAACCCATTTTATCCTCAGCACGTCCCATTTGAAGGCTGGTAAGTGAGGAATATAATTGCTGTGACACAACTCCAACCCCTTCGCTTCCATAAGTTACCCTGCACAAAGTGCAAGATGTATTATTCGCAATAGGAAATTAAAGGTACGAACTCGCTCCCCTATTTACAGGTCTATGCCAGAACTTAATTTTTTTACATTGAAGAATAAAAAGATAAGAAAGCACATGATTTCCAAATTTTCAAGAATAAAAAGATAAGAAAGCACATGATTTCCAAATTTTCTACAAGTCAATTTTTTTGTGGGACGAATTATTTATCATAATGATGCAACTAGTACATAGAAATTACCTTTTACCAAGATAAGTTATGCTTCCTACAGGGGATATAACCACAGCTGTTCCAGTACAAAAAACTTCATCAGCGTCAAGCAATTCATCCACTGTCACAAACCGTTCCTCGACCTAAATATTAATAGATAAACACTATATTACTATCAAAGTGATTTGAAAGGCCTAGTGCACACCCGAGTCTACAGAGAAGTGAACAAGAATCCTTTAAATAAGCGAGTCTTAAAAGCTATTGCCATAGACATATCAATACCTTGTCTTCACATATATTGTGCCAATTCTTACTCGGGAACCTATAATTTTTTTTTATTTTTTTATTTTATGGAATCAGCTTGCTCAGGAAGCAACCAATAAACAGTCAAAATCCATTTTTCCTTGACAGTTGGGCCTTTAAAGTTTTAAGGGCATTACTACCTGGCTACAGTAGTTCATTTAAAGTTTTCAGAAGCTCATTGCTGATAGTAGCTACTACCTGGAATCCTTGACTACGAGCAACATCAATTATGCTCTTTCGCGTGATCCCAGGAAGAATGGTCCCTTTAATTGCAGGAGTAGATATCACATTGCCCTGAAATATCACGAGTTTATCTGACATCAGCTTTCATATTTTTACCAACATGACAAGTCATAAACCGAAGCACCATATGCAGAAATTAAGGGAGTGTTTGACACCCATTTTAACGGGTTAAAAATTTTGGAATAGTGATTGATGGGAGAAATGTGTGGTGGAAAAGTGATGAAAATTTTTAGATTTGTGTGTAATATTATTTTATTTGGAGATTGTGTAGTTGAAATGAAAAAAGAGAATGAGTGCCAAACAGGGACTAAATATTGTCATACAGGAAGGAAGAGCATGGAAAATAAGTAATGGAACAAAACAAATAATGGGAAGTTGAGGAGATCCAATATTGGTTAAGACAAAAAAGTATATCTTAGATGAACTGCACAATGGGTCATCTCATAGTTCTTAAACAACTAATTATTGATCAAAAAGTAAATTATTGCTACACAACCAGATCCAAACTCAAGGGATATTAAATGGAACTTAAAACTTCTCCGAGGCTAATGTCTCAGATACAAAAGTCAGATTTAAATCCCATCATCTAATGTAGAAAGCCAAAATTGATTATAATTATTTACTACAAATGCCATTTATGTGTTTTGTCGGTTAAGATTGAGAAATTCAGTCGTCTTATCTGAATAGATAGTGTAAAATGTAATCTGCTCATCAACTCAGATTTTTATTTCTTGTCATGCTGCAAGGCCCAAAAACATGCCACCAACACTAAGATCACAAATATAAAATGGATTAAGACCACCAGCATAAGGACATTCCAAAATATCACAGTATTTAAATTCCACGTTTACGGTTACAAACTTTCTTAGTCACCTATTAGTCCTAGAATATAATTTTGCCTTTTTTGCATGAACAGTGCCAATGATGACGAAGTTATGAAGACTTCAACGACCAAGAAATACAAGAGATATTAACTTCTATGAAGGAGCATCATAGTCATTAAATCCAATCATAAGCCTTGGTATATACTGATACTTGGATATTTTAGCCCCTGTTTGACAAATCTTTTTTGAGATTATAAATCAGCCCCTGTTTGTTTTTCATTCTTGGAGCCTAAGAATTAATTTTTTGACCGTTTATTTTCAAACAGTGGGCCCCCTTGTGAAACAAGAAGGTCAAAAGTTGCGGCCAAAAAATCTATAACCATTAGAAATTTCATTAAAATGAGGGAAACAATTGGAAACAAACAGGGGCTCAGTAAAACATCGTTTTTAACCCCATATTTCATTAAACCTACAACTTTTATATACTTTTAACCCCACATTTCATGGGACCCACTAATTTGTAATCTCAAAAAGCTTTGTCAAACAGGGGTTTAATAATACTGAAACAATGTGACTTGCCCAACAGCTCCTGCATGAAAACACTCCAATTCCATGTCAAACTGCAAACCTTATCTTCAGCTTAAAAAATTAAAAGCAATAATTTCATCTGCATGTGACATTTCACAATGCATTTGATGGCCACAGTTGATTCACTTATCGATACAGTTAAGAAGGGAAAAGAAAAGGAACTACAAAGTATACATCCAGACAAAAATGTACAAGTTCCACAAAAAATGAGGTTACAAGATGCAGTCCGTTTATAGAATTACAAGAAAGAAAAAATTCACAGAATAGATTTGCCTCAAATGAGAATAAGCAACTAAGCCAATTCAAAAGTGTGTACCTTTACAACAAATACATTGCAAGATGAAACCTCTTCCAGATATCTTTTGTGAACACTATCCAGATAGAGAACATCGGAAAATCCTTTCGCTTTTGCAGCACTCTGTGCCTTTAGAACCTAGAAAATATAGTTTTGAAGATTAAAGGATGTATCGGCATAACCAGAAAATAAAGATTATCTAATTACATAGTAAGGATAGTACCCAATTCCATGGCTTATCAGATATCATTAGGCTTATATATGATAAGCATATATAAGCATGTTGCAGTAACAAGTTTCTAAGCATAAATTTTTGGATTAATTATTGAAACAACATCTTTTCATTAAGTATTGAGGCAAAGGAAAAAATTTAACAAAATAATGGGAAGAGGGAAAGCAAAGAATATTATGGTTATCTATCATTATGATCTTCGGAAGAGAGAGAAGAAAATATTTAAGTAGAGATGTGTCCAACATACAGAAAAAGAAGTTAACTATGCAAGAAAATAAATAGGCACATAAAGAACCTATCAAAAGAGGACATGAAGGAAAGAAGAATCCACATGAGAGTAGCTTACTGCTGCATAATTTCCTATAGTCTTAACTCCTCCAGTACCCCCAGGTGTTGCTCGATGCATTTCAGTCTCAACTATTAAATTTATTGGAGCCAAACCTTCCTGGCAATATCATAAACAAATGATAACTAAGAGGGTTTGTGGAGTATGCGTTAGAAACTGGTACAAAAATTGTGTAAAGAATAATCATGTATCAAAAAGAATGGTACAATAGATATTATGCTTCTGCAAATCACTTGCGAAAAAATGATTTTTCAAGATGAGATGAGATTGTCAGCCAAACATTATCATGTTAGACTAGTTCTTAAGTTAATATTAGCTGTAACATATATGTGGGATTTGAACCATGTTCGAATGGTGGTCCCATAATTTGCACTAAAGTCGTGTTTTGGATGTTGCAACTTTATTAAAATTGCACTTTTAACTAGATGACAACACGTGATATAATCTGCACTATTGGATTGCCTTCTGGATGCTTCAACCCTGTATGGCTTTTCATTGGGTTTTCGTTTTGCTAGGGTTTTTTGTCTCTCTCTCTGGTTACGCCGTTTCCAAGGAAACTCGATAGTTTTGTTCTCTCTATTGTTTTTCTTCTCAAATTACTAATTTGAGAATGGTTGATATGTAATAGTTAGCCTCTGTTTAGTGATATTTTGAGTGAATATTCGTGAGAAAGTTTGGGTTCTTTCATGTTGGTGTTTATAAGGTTTTTAGGAGATTCTTCCATGAATCTTGCAGATCAACTGTTGTATTTAAGAAAGATAAGTGTTATGTTCTGTACTCGGTGAATTGGCTGAACATTTTGTAACATTTGTTATCATTTTGGACTATATAGTGGAATTGAACACAAATCCAATCTATTGGATGCTCAACGGGGGATGTAGGCGTTAGAAGCGGACGCCGAACCTATAAAGCTTAGGCCGAAAGAAATCGATTGTTTTTTCTTTATTTTCTGCACATTATTTTTCTGAGAAGATCTTCATATCTCTATTTCTCGATTTAATATTGTGCTTGTTACTGGCCTTACAGTGATATCAGAGCTATCGATGAGGAACAAGTTACCTGGATCTTGGAGAAACCAGTTGATCTGTAACAGATCCAAATCTTTGGAATTGTTGTTAAGCAAAATTGCAAGAAATCAAGTTTTAAACTCGCTAGGTGAGATCTTTCTAAACTTTTGTAAAGTTTATCTTTCAAATTTTTAGGGTTTCTTGATTTTTTTCATTGATCTATCGTACACTACAAATCCCCTTGAGATTAATCTTTGTCCAAAGGTTCCTACGAGGACTTTGGAATCTGAGATAAATCAAGTACGGGTGTGTACTTGGAGGATCTCGCAGGAGGAATCTGTGAAACATAGTTCTGTAATCTCTTTTATTGTGTTCTCCTTTGAGTCTTGATCTGTATACTTTCTGAGAGTGCCTTAAATTTGAAAAATCACGTTTTACTAAGTGTATTACTGTGATTTTTTGAGTATCATCAAATCTGTACTCGTGTTGTTCTTTGCATATTTGTGAAAGTTGTCTTCTATTTGTGAATCATACTTGACTTTAACATAGCTTCTGCTAAGTTTGAAGTTATTCAATTTGATGGAAAAATTGATTTCAATCTGTGGAGTAAAAAAATGAATGATATTTTAATGTAAATGAGATGTGTTAGGACCTTAGATGATAGTTGGCCTGCTAATTTACTTCCTGCAAAGAAAATTGAACTTGAAGAAGTTGCTTCGAAGACTATTTTCTTGTACTTATCTGAAAATGTGATAAAAAGTATTGGTGAAACTAAAACTACTTCTAAATTGTAGACCAAATTGCATGCAAAATACGTGACAAAGACTGCTCTAAATAAGTGTTTCTTACTGAAACAATTCTTTTCTTTCAAAATGGACCCCTCAATCGATTTAGACGAAAATTTAAACAGATTTACAAAACTTACCCAAGACTTAGCCAACTATGATGAAAAACTTTTAAAAGATCAGATGGCTATAGTCTTGTTAAACTCCATTAGTGACAGATATAAAGACATCAAGGTTGCTCTAGAGTATGGTAGAAAATAACTTATAGTAGGAAATAACTTACTACTGATGGGATAATAAATTCTTTAAAAAATAAGGCTCTAGAGATGAAAGCTGATTCCAGTAGTAGTCAAATTGGAAACAATTTGTTAGCAAAAGGGAAAGGTTTTGGTAAATCAAATTATCATTCTAAGTCTTTTATTGAGAATAAAAACAGATTTAGTGATAAGAATAAGTCGAGAAATAAGGCTAAAGGTAAGAAGTGTTATTATGGGAAGTTTTGTTATTTTGCTAAAGATTGTTTTAAGAAGAAAAATGATTCAAAAGAAAAAAAGTTTGATGATGGGAGTAGTGCTTTAGTATTAATAAAGCTAAGTCTGATACTGGTTTGGTCCTTGTTAATATGGAAAAACAACTAAGTGATGAATGGATTCTTGACTCGGGTTGTTCTTTTCATATTTGTCCAAATAAAAACTGTTTTCTTGAGTTTGAAAAGACATATGGGGGGCAAGTTATAATGGGAAATAACTTTACTTGTAAAGTCAGAGGAATAGGTACCATAAAATTGTTATTGGAAAATGGTAATGTTCTATTTCTAAAAGGAACTAGGTATGTTCCAAACATGAAAAGGAACCTGGTGTCCTTAGGTACGTTAAATGGTATGGAGTTTAACATAAATTTGGGACAAAGACATTAAAATTCTTAGGAGCAATGATTTAATCATTAGCACTCCTAAGAGACATAGTTTTTATTTTTTGAAAGCTAAACCACTACTTGGCTTAACTGCTTATGTTGTATTTGAAAATTTTACACTTGCAAAACTATGGCATAATAGACTTGGTAACATTGGTAAAAAGGGTTTAAATTCTTTACATTGAAAGGGAGTTTTTTAAAAATTAAATCATGGTAATTTTGGTTCTTGTAAACAATGTATTATAGGAAAACAAGTCAAACTACTTTTTACAATTTGAATTCATAAATCCAAACAAATATTAGGGTAGTTACATGCTGATTTGTGGGGTCCTGCTACTGTGTGCACTTTATCTAATTTCAGATATTTTTTGCTGATCATTGATGATTTTTTTAGGAAAATTTGAGTTTTCTTATTAAAACATAAAGATGAAACATTTTCTGTTTTTAAATATTGGAAAACTCAAATTGAAAGTCAAACTTATAACAAAATAAAGTTTTTGAGGATCGACAATGATTTGGAATTTTGTAATCATGATTCAATAATATTTGTAAAGAACATGGTATTTTTAGGCATAAAGCTGTCGCTTATATTCTTCAACAAAATGGAATACCTGAAAGAGTGAACATAACTCTATTAAACAAATAAGTACCTAAAAGAGTGAAGCTGTTAAAACTACTGCATATCTTGTTAATAAAAGTCCTACTAAAGCTTTAGATTCTGAATCTGAATTTCCTAAACCTATTTGGTTTGAAAGTTCTGTGAATTATTCTCATTTAAAGGTGTTTGGTTGTGGTGCATATGTTCATCAAAATATTGGAAAATTGGAACCTAAATTACTTAAATGTGTTTTCTTGGGTTATGATGAACATGTTAAAAGCTACAGATTATAGGTTAAATGTGAAAAGGGGTATAGAGTCATTGTTAGAAAAGAAGTTTTCAATGAATCTATAATGCCATGTTTAGAAGGAAAAGAAAATGTTTTGACTGATAAAGATGTTCAAAATGAGCAAGAGACTCATGTACTTGTAGTAGATGAATCTGGTCTTGAACATGAAATTGAAAATGGTCAAGAAATTGGCAAACCAGACCAATCTGATTCTACTTCTCCTTCTGATGAGTACCAACTCACAAGAGATAGAGAGAGAACATACGAGACCTTATACTAGATTTGACGGTGATGATTTTGTTTCCTTTTTCACTTATCAAGAACATTTTGAAAATGAGCCTAACTCTTTTAATGATGTCATTAAGTGTAAAGAAAGTAAAAATTGGATGACAGCTATGGAAGATGAAATGTCTTCACATTTTGAAAAAAAAGACTTGGGAACTTGCTAAAAGACCTAAAGGGCATAAATTAATTGACTGTAAGTGGATCTATAAAATAAAACAAGGGGATGGAGATCGTAAAAATATTAGATATAAAACTAGACTTGTTGCAAAAGGCTTTACTCAAAAAGGGATTGATTATACTCAAATTTTTTCTCTTGTTGTGAAATATACCACTGTTAGATGTTTGCTTGCTCTTGTTGCTCAATTTAAATGGGAACTTGATCAATTGGATGTTAAAACTGTTTTCTTGTATGGTGATTAGATGAAATTATTTACATGAAGCAACCTGTGGGTTTTGAAATTAGAGATCTTGAAAATACTGTTTGTCTATTAAAAAGATCCTTATATTGTTTAAAACAAGCTCCCGGACAATGATATAAGAGATTTGATACATTTGTTTTAAAACTTGGTTTTAAAAGAAGCCAGTATGATACCTTTTTATCCTGTAAAGGTGATGAAGGCATGGTTTAAAAAGGCGATAGTGAGGCTCGCCTTACTGTAAGGCGCATGTAGCATGCCTCGAGACGGTATTTTTTAGGATAAAAATATAAGGTTCACGCCTCTAAATCTGAGGCTCACGCCACAAGGCGCGCCTCACTACTGCCTTTTGTAGAAATTGAGAGTAGCGAAGAGGAAGATGATGGGGAAATTAAATATGATGATAATTCCATTAACGATACTAGTAATAGTGACGATAGTGCAAACTATTAGGCTTTTTTTAGTTTAAGCTGTTGCTTTTTTTCCATTGCAAAAGGAGTGATTTCTAACTTCTGTAATTTTTTTTTTGTTTTGATAAACACCTTCTTTCTTTAGGTGGACTATATCTCAATACGCTAATAGCTATATATCCTATTTACTAAATGCTCTAACTTTGATTTTTTTTTTTTGTTTTTTTATTTTATTTTTTTATTCTTTTACTGAGATTTTTTGTT